CAGATACTTGATTCTCGACGTAGATTCCAGTTCCGATTTGACAGGGTGAATTATGAAGCCGAGATGCGTGAACATGTGGATGATACATTTTGATTGTTTGATCAGGATTTGAGCTATCGTATTCCTTGCTAGGAAATCCTCCAGGTATCCATGAATAGCGATCTGGCGGCGATGTAAAAATGCCATGATGGTATTTATAACCACTGTGAAGAGCCAATTGTTTACCGCGAACCGAAGATACTTTTAAGAGGATGAATCAGCACATGCAGGTAAGCGTCCTTCAGGTCTATGCTGATGAACTTGGAGTCCCGTTGTATGAGAGTTCTCAAGTTGGCCAGAGATTCCATCTTGAACTTGGGTGGTCTCCTTAAGTAATTCTTGTTCAATACTTTCAGGTCTATTATCATCCTCATTTTGTCCGTATCTTTCTTGGGCACAAGAAATACCGGGGAGTAGAAACCGCAAGATTGATCCTCCTGAGGAATTTCCACTATAGCTCTCTTGTCTAGTAACTGCTGAATGGCTTCTGACGCTCCCGTTAAACGATCTCCCTGCAGGAAATATCTCCTTCCCCTCGGCTGATGAGTTACTGGGGGAAACTTGTCCCACAGGAGGATAAATCCCCTCTCTATGACTGACAGTATCCAGCTGTCTGAAGTAATTTGATTCCAATTGTCTATGTACTGTGCGAGACGACCTCCCACTGGGGATTGAGCTACAGGTTGAACAAAAGTCGAGGGACATTTCCAAATCGCAAGGTGGAGTAAGTTGGATTGTTGGACTTGAGTCAAAACTTCCTAGCACCTGCCCTTGATCCACGAAAAGAACTGGTACCTCTACCTTTGCCCCTAGTAGAGGGGAATCCCCTGGCGTTAGCAAACGTAGACAAAGATCAGCGTGACCTATGTATCAGATCCTCTATCAAAGGTTGAACGTTGGAAAGGCTCCCGGCGGATAGACGAAGACGACCGAGGAGTATGTGCCGGCGGATCCCTCCTAGTTCTAGTCTGAGGTCTGCCTCTGTTCTGTGAAAACAAGGCTGAAGCTAATCTTTGATTCAAATTCCGCGAAGTAACAGCGTCCTTAGCTTGAATCACTTGACTGCATTCTCCATGAAACAGAGACTCCGAATTAAGGGGCTGTTGAAAAAGTAATTCCTTGGCCGACTCAGGTAGACTCCTAACTGAACTCAACCTGGATGTTCTTTCCATAGCTGTAATTCTTCCAATATTACAGATCTGGTTATGTGTACAATCCACCACTGTCTGATAAACCACATCCAGAAAGGAATGCGCCATAGCAACCTCTTCTGCAGTCATAGAAACTAACGTGTCCTTCTTAACACCCTCACAATTCTGGAACAGTGGCGGCAATAAGGCCCGAACTCCGCGGCAAACCAATTAGTATAGGATAAAATGTCTATGGATGTACGTTAGGAGACATCAATGTCCTTAAGGTCCTTAAGCTGGCAGTTGAAGGAAGAATCCCTGGGTTTAAAATCCTGCAGCTGGGAAAAATCCTTATCCAATTGAGGAGTATTAGCTGGTATAAACCTGTCATGGATGGCATAGCTGAACCGGCTTGGGTAGGGACGCAATGGTATACGCCTTGGACATATTAGCATTGTAAGAATCCAGAGATGATTTCAAGGCCGAAGAATGAGGGAGAGATAATTTAGGTAACCTTTCCGGGGGTAGGCAGCCTGAAGCACCGAGTTCTACAGGGATTTCCCGCTCCGTTTCATCTATTTGAGGCAGGACCGTGGTAGGATATAAATCATGAATCAAAGACCAACCCGCGGAAAAGTCTTCCGACGATGTATCCTTAGCTTGGACTGTGAGCAACCCTTCCTTCATAATAAAGTTAGGTTGAGACAACGGATAAATAGAGGTACTTTCCGAGTCAGATAAGTGAGGGACCAGTGGCAAAATCGGTGGCCTGTTAGTATCGATGTATTCCGCGGCGCCCGTGGTAGTACCGCTAGGGCCATGACTGGCCGTCAGCGCCGACCCATCACCGTTAGGACCAGTGCTGGTTACCAGTGGGTTGGGAGTTGAAGGCGGGAAGCCCGTGCTCCGTACCGCTATCCGACTGAAGCCCATTCCCCACGTGGGAAAAGGTAGCAGGCTTGGTGTGACAGGGGGCATTGTTCCTGGAAACAATAGGCCTGGCTTGAGTTGCCCGATCAGCAACCAAACCATGGCTGGAGCCGGCCAAGCCCACCATGTTGGCGTCACTTAAAGCCCCAGGCTTATCCCCCAGTGGGGAATGGCTCTCCGGTTGGGACAGTAGGTGTTACCCGGCTTTCCCGGGCATAGCACCTACAGCCCTTGCGGTACTGAGAGATGGACTGGCATGAGCCCTCGCCAAACAATCAGTATTGTAATTAGCCATGTCACCGTGATCAATCCTCTCTGAATACATCCTCTGCAGAGAGTTGATACGTGCTTCATTTCTCACTTCCATATCCTTCAGAGACAGGCTAACCGAGGCCTGCATTTCCGATTTAAAGGAGGAGAATAATTCTGCCATAGCCGACATGTCAATTTGAGCTGAGTCAGATTTCGACCTAGATTTAGATTTAGACCTTGCCTTAGAATCTGATCTTTGAGATGAAGATGGTGTACTAGGATTAGATTTCTTAGACTTACTAGATTCTGCCCCCGGAGAAGATTTACGCTTTTTGGACTGACACCTAGCCGTATCCATATTGAGCCATTCAATTTCAGATAAATCTGAACATAATAAACAGCGATCTACTAATGTGCATGGGATACCCGAAAAACACGCTACACATAAGGAATGAGGGTCAAGATCGGGCATGAACTTTTGGCATTGGACACACTTTTTTTCGCCATATCTTCCTGAAAAACTAAGGAAAAAAGGGCGGGGAAAATAAAGCAAAATAAAACATAAAATAATATAAATACGATTGTCCGTCGGACCAAATGTCGACACCACTAACCTACTACGATGAATCTAGTGCAGAAGGCTGTGTAAAGTTTAAAAATTTTCACTTCACTTCTATACGTGTTGACAGTAGTGCATACAGAAAAGTTGTGAGGTTTTCAAACAGACAATAGGATGACGTCATGTCAAGGGGAGGTAACTCTTGGGGTTAAGAGAGTAAGCATACCAATAGGGATAGCTATGACTTAGGGTTTAAATTTTTCATTTTATTTTCTGTATATGACTGTGGGAACCACAGAATTAAGGCAACCATAATCCAGAGGGAAGGTTTACGGTATAATTATTGCTTATTGAAAAAACATTCAAGAGAAGTCTTAAAAGTCTATGAAGAAAATCCAGCGAACCGTTCTTAAAATATCTTGCTGACAATTCAGGTTAACATGCTGAAATCTTCAAAGTGTCGTCGTGACCCTAAACATTATGTGAAGGTCACCAAAATTGACTGGGCCCTGGGCCTTACCTATAGTTTGGCATGAAATGCATGTGGACCCGTTTTTTTGTAAATATCTCTTCATCCAATGACCCAATCAATCTCGAACTGTGCAAGTGGATGTTTTGTCAGACAACCTAATCACATTGTAAATCACTGATTTTATGCATTTGTATTAAAGAATCTGTCTATGTAACTGTCAACAAAATAAACAGCAGAACGCAGAATGCTTGCAGAGGGAGGGAGCCAATGACCTGTAACAGCGGCAGTGTTGGGTCATAAAGGTCAACGTTCGTCAATGTAGGTCAGCTATGAACGTGACAGGTATGAAGAGGTGTCACAGGTCGTGAATAGGGTAAAGTGGGTGCCAACTGTTAACCATCATACGGATGATACGGTGATTTACAATGTGATTAGGTTGTCTGACAAAACATCCACTTGCACAGTTCGAGATTGATTGGGTCATTGGATGAAGAGATATTTACAAAAAAACGGGTCCACATGCATTTCATGCCAAACTATAGATGAAGCTTGGTGTCAAATATGAAGAAAATCCAGTGAATATTTTTTGCGATATCTTGCTGACTATCTTAACATGCAATTTAACATGCTGAAATCTTCAAAGTGTCTCTGTGACCTTGAAAATTAAGTGAAGGTCACCAAAATCGACTGGGCCCTGGGCCTTTCCTGGATGAAGCTTGGTATCAAATATGAAGAAACTCCAGTGAATGGTTCTTGAAGTATCTCGCTGACAAGCATAACATGTAGGTTAATATGCTGAAATCTTCAAAGTGTCTCTGTGACCTTGAAAATTAAGTGAAGGTCACCAAAATTGACTGGGCCCTGCGCCTTCCCTCGATAAAACTTGTTGTTAAATACGAAGAAAATCCAGTGAACGGTTCTTGAGATAGCTTAACATGCAGGTTTACATGCTGAAATCTTCAAAGTGTCGCCATGACCATGAAAATTAAGTGAAGGTCACCAAAATCTACTGGGCCCTGCGATATAGCTTAGCGTGCAGGTAAAATGTTAAAGTCCCCTTGTGACCTTGAAATGAAGGTCAAGGTCACCAAACCTGAGTTGGACCTTTCTTATACTGTGATGAAACTAGGTACCAAATATGAAAAGAATCCAGTGAACAGTTCTTAAGATATTCCAATTCGTACGGCTAAACGCGCGGCGGGGTATAATAAAAACAAAAATCTGTTTCAGGACAGGTCGTCAACAGTTGTGGATGCCTTCATTAGGGAGTCATATGGTCAACCAGGGCAAGACTTTGCATGAGCTTTCAGTGACTGCTTACAGCTATAGATGGGTGTGTTCCAATGAGGTGTTTCAAGAGGCTGCAAACAAGGTTTCAGGTCGTTTCCACTCCATGGATGGAACCAAGAAAACATCTAACTTTGAATACTGAATAGTATGAATAGTACAGAATGACAACAGATAACACCTGCCTGTAAAGTTCAATGGAACCTTTGGTTCTGGTAAAACTTGCTTTTTATGTGACCAATGTGGACTAACATGAAATGCCCCAATACACATTCTTCCTCACATTCAAATTGTCTGTAATTTTAAGATTTTGATACTAATTCTGACTCACCTGATGACCCTGAGGATGTATATGTGCAAAGGCGTGTTCTGGACGAGACAAAACAGTAAAAGGACTAGACATAATGGTTCTGTTTACAGGTGGAGTGCCTGGAGAGCTGGATACAATACTGGGACTGTTAGCTGTAGAGATACTGGTACCTGAAAAAGTATAACATATGAGTCAGTCCTGTCAGAGAGGATACTGCCGGATTACAAAAGTTCAGGCACATTAGTTCACCTGGATATGTAGTAGACAGACAGACAGTTTTATTTGTAATGCGGGCATAGTGGCCTATAATACAGTTTACAATTCATTTGAATAAATCAACAGGAGTTATAATAGTTTCACAACACATTAAAAGGAGAACCAACCCTTTTCATTTTAGATGATTTTAGTGCAAATAAAAACACTAATTCAGAAGCTGTGCTATGGTCAGTGCATGGGTCAAAGTATCACATTGAAATATGCCCCACTTACTGAAAGGCCCATATGAGCAGAAAAGTTTAACTGTCTCAAAAAACTGTAAGGACAATAATACTTTTGATGAATGTCTCAATAGATTACATCATTCACATAAAGACTGAAAGGGAAGAGCTCACACAAACACAACATTGAAATCGAGATGCACGAGCATCATGCATGCATTCAGGCATAAATTGCTGGCTTGAATGTCAATCGTTGTTTTGGCACTTGTTTTCTGAACACAGCAGCTATGGCTAGGTTAACGAGAGGTGTTGATGGACGATATGACGGTCCTGGCGACGTGTTGTCGACCACTACGTGGATGGTCATCAGTGCTGTTGGTGGCTTTGTCGCTGTCTTAGACATTCTATCATTCGAACGCTGCAATTTAAGTCATTAGCAATGACTCGAGCACATTGACCAGTGTCTAGAGTCCAATGGCTTGTTGTCGTCAATATCTCGTTAACCTAGCCATAGCTGCTGTGTCAGAAATTCAATCAAATGAATTTTTGGTTATCTCCTGATTGGCAGACACCCATTTGACAGACAGTCAGTTGACAGACACTAAACTAGAAGGTTAATAGGATATGTACAGCAGAATTTAAGTGAGAAAACGTTTTGTTTGAGAGATATAGATATGTACATATTAGAAAACATTCTGATTTTCAGTAATTGAGAGACCTACATGGCCATGTAAGATCAGAATAATACCAATCAGTGATCTAATTGTTAACAATACTTTCTAAAGATTGTAACAGTTTGTGTCTTTGAATAGTATACAATGGACATTCAAGGAAGTAATGAAAAACATTCTCACATCCATGGCCATATTGACATGATGCGTCATTTTATTGATATTTATTCCAAATAAATCATAATTAAGTGTACAAATTCAACTGCCTGAGTCCCGGAACTCACTGAGCTGAATAACTATGAGTCCCTCAGAACTTTTATGAGTCCCTAACAAAAATTAATGCCACAAATATTATTCAAACTGGTTTATTGTTACTATAGGTTGCACAGGTGAGTCTGACCGGTCTGGGATATTTCACAGAACAGAGCTGGTAGTACCTAAATTGTAACAAATGGAGACTCTTCAATTTTAACTTGTAGTTCATACCCTATCACATCAGACACAGATGTTAACAGATCACTGGTAGTGGTTGGAGAATCATAGTTGATTTTACCTTCCTTGAGAATTTCAATGTCTTTGTTTTCAAATTCATATAAAAAGTCAACAAAACGTTTAAACTTTGTCAGTGGGATGTTTTCACAAGCTAACCAATGAACAGATTTCATCAAGGCGACAGCTGCTTTGTCTTGTTTTTCATACATACGTGCAGTTGCAACCTGGAAATCATCACAAAGTTTTGGAGCCTGAATGGACAGTTTATTATCATTATGGTGAGATGTCTGGTCAACGTTATATTTTTAAAATTTCTGCATTTAGCAACTTGTGTCAAACCATTTTCAGTACATAGTTTACAAAATATTAAATCACCTTCCCTGTCATAAGTCAGCCATAACCGATGAGTTTTTGGCCAACCTGACAGAAATGTCCTAACTTTGTGTTTTCTGACAGTATCTATCTGGGCAGCATGTCGACTGCTATATTATAAAAATAACAGCAGGGTCTACATGACCTTTGACAAGCAAATATTTTCTTTTACTAGAAAAATAAAAAAGTTACTAGCCAGACCCATGTAATTTCACTGTTATATTTTGTGAATAAAGTTCTACAATTCTAACCAAAGTTTTGTTTTATTTCTTCACTCTGTTCAGTGATTCAAAACCAAATTACATCAAAAGAAATATGCCAACTGGAAGCCACTTTAACAAGTATGAACACAAATAGTAACTGTCTTACTTTAACTATTAACATTGAAAGAATTATATCATAAATGTCATCATATTTATATGATTACTTTTCCAGGACTTGACATTCAGAACCTTAAACAACAGAATGACATTCTATACTAGCCACATGAAGAAACTGTGCACACAGAAAATTCCTTCAGAATTGGAATACAACACAGAAAAGATGAAATGATGTAGACACTTTATAAGCTGAAGTATCGGACCACAAGAAAATGTGGAAAGAGCAAGAACAATATCCGTAACGATGACGTCAGAAGTTCAAAATCGAGTACGGCATCACACGATGAAGTCACAAAGTCAATAACGGGTATGACCACCATGTGCCGTGAAGCACAGCAGTGCATCGACGATGCATAGAGGCTACTGAAAGAGCATTGAAGGCCTGGGGAATGGTCTTGGACGTGGTCACTGCCGTCTTGAACCTGTGTTTGAGATGAGTCACCCGAATCCATCTGTCCTGTCATGGCGTCGTTACGTCGGGGACACCCATACTGTGAGTGGTCGGCGACGTCATTAGTGTTTCCATAACGCCTGACCAATGCAGATATCGTGTTACGATGGCATTGGAAATGTGCTGCCACCTGTTGTTGGCTCATTCCTGCTCAAACCATTCTATTGGCTTCATGACGTTGAGCAGATGTTAATCTTGGCATGATGTGCATGTGACTTCTCATGTGAATTTGTGAACGTTTGAATGACCAAAGATCAAGCTTTCGACAGTGACAGCAATTTCTGAGTTTAACATGTTGTGTGCAGCTGCACGGGCTGTACGTGTAGTAACACATTGCAAGTCCATAGGCCACTATCGATGACGTCATGTCGCCTAACACGTGCATGAAGCGTTTGATTGTCTCCAATACTTGCTATGTTCACACCTGTATTTATGTATAAAGACGCTGTGTGCCTATATCTACATTTTCTGTGTGCACAGTTTCTTTATGTGGCCAGTATATTTCAGAAGAACTTTAACCCTGTCAAATGTCACTTTCAAATTACATGCAGATAGATTTAACAGTTGTTCAGCTACTGACTAAAGCTTCCTGCTTTCCTCTTACTTGTACTGAGAGCTCAGATTTTGAGTCACAATGTTCATTGACCAATCATTTTGTCTTGAAAAACCTCATTTGCATATCGCTTACCTCCCTTAGCGTCTTTGTGTCTATTTATAGAGTGTAAAAACTAGGTTAGTAGTTTTGCACATGCAATGAATCTTGGGATCTCATTTGCATACCGCTTACCTCCCTTGGTGTGACCTAGATGTCTATTTTTGGAAACGCGGAAATGAACTGATTATCATGACGAATGAAAGCTGCAATCGTTTTAAAATAATGTGTACTTATTAACTGACGTCAATTATTTGAGAATGGAAGTTAATCTACGAAGATTTAGCCATGTATACTTTGAAATTGCCTCTCCACAAAAATAAACATTAGTGTTTCATCAAAAGAGGACGCACATGTAAAAAAAAAATTTGAGTCCTGTCAGAATTTATTATGTCAGAGACGCGGGACGCGGGGGTAGATTTATCCCTGTGCCAAACATTTAACTCCCTTATTGCATATGAATAGTATTTAGGTGCACATTTTTCTTTCAAATGGATATAAGATTTAAAAGATGCAACAGAGTCACAATTTCTAATAGGCTAGCTAAGGGAATATTATTCCACATTTTAACTGCTGATGGAATAAAAGATGATGTTGAGTACCTCAGTCTTGTACATGGTTGGCAAAAATTATTCAAGTTTTTCAACTCATAACTTGTCCGGTTGCCTACTACAGGTGGGAGTAAATCCTGAAGAAAAACTGGTGTTGTTCTATTTAGTAGGAGCTTTAATTTCTGAAATGCTCCAATCATTTTAGATGTCTTTTGACAATGTTTTCAATATGATGCCGCTAACTCCCGTTAGACGAGAAGGTTAAGCCCAAATGTTTACGAAAATCAACTGTTTTTATATTGCAGCAATCAAAATTAAAATTAATGTCTTTTCAGCCATCTTTCAAAGTAAATATAATATAGTTCCAGTTATTTTTTGTGTTTTTATTTGGACTATTCCATTATAATGTGTAGGTAACAGGCAGTAGCTAACATGTGCATGGAACCGTAAATGTTGTCGTTTTAAGGCGTCTGTGAACTGCCTGTCTGCGTAATGGGAGGACACCAAATTCTTTTGTCAGAACTAATAAAACCATAAAACCTATATGGGATCATTTCCTGGTCCAGCACAGGGTGATCCTTACCAGAGGAGCCTCAAGTTTTCCTTTCTCCCCGAATGTAACTTTCAAAAAATTATTGGCTTACTAGTGTAAAGGAGTAAGTAAAGTGATAATATTTGATTGTTACTTGTTACAGAGCTTGATACTGGAGAACTGCTGCTGATCACAGCCTGTCCGTCAGATGTACGGAGAATAGCAACTGGCCTAGCAAGGTTTGGTGGTGGTGGTGGAGGCGGTGGCAACATTCCTGGTGCAAAGAATTGGGGTAGTTTTGTAGGACTCTTCATTGGTGGTGTAGATGGACTGGACTGAAACAAAAAGATAACATCTATAAAATCATACAATAATAGTTACTGATTACATGCAGAGGTCACTTCTTTCTTTCCATGAATACTTTCCCACAAAGGAAAGAGGTACCATGAACCATTTCTAGCAATCAGGTGACAGCTGACCTCATACATAAAAAAGACAAGAGCCAGTCAACTTTTGGTTACTTGTCCAAGGCCAAAGATCTGGAAGGTGTTCCTGAACTAAGATTTAGCTGAGGATCTGGAAAAAAAAGATGCATTAGCGATACATATTCTGTTTTTATAGGAACAATTAGAAGTATTGTTAGTAATTGTTAGTAAATTTACATCTGGATTATCGTTGCCTTATTGCTGTGGTTACCACAGACACATACAGCACAAATGGATAAAAAACGATCCCGAGGTCATAGTGGTATGCCCTCACCCTGTGGAATTATCTCCTCTTAATTCATGATGTCAGAGTGAGTGAGTTTAGTTTTATGCCGCTTTTAGAAATATTCCAGCAATATCACATCGGAGGACACCAGAATGGGCTTCACACACTGTACCCATGTGGGCAATCAAACCCGGGTCTTCAGCGTGACAGGTGGGATAATAATAATCTTTATTTGCACTGAGAAGGCCACAGGCCTATAGTACATAAAGTTATGTTACATTTGAGAGGAATTTAGATCGGGTAATCATAGCATAGTAAATGAACATTGAAATATTTTGTAGAAGAACTGGATTTTTACTACTTAACAATGAGGAGAATTTTATCACATTTGGATGGACATAGTTATATCTTTTAATATATTTTGTTCGCAACCGGTCATAAAATGGACATATTAGGAGAAAATGTAATTCATCTTCTATTTCGTTAAAATTAGAAAGTGTACATATTCTATTTTCTCTTTTTACATTCATATATCTGCCTCTTTCAATCAACAAATCATGAGAAGAGCATCTGAATCGTGCCAGTGCTATTCTAAACTTTTTAACATTAACACAGGATAGATATGACTCAAGAGCTAGGGCATTTTTAAACAATGAATAATACATGCATTCATTTGATAAAGATATCCTTCCACACCATGTTTGAATATACATATCTTTTAGTCTTGTCGTTAAGGATTGTATGAATAACGTAGGTGATTCGACATATTGTGTATTCCATGTAATTCCAAAACCAATAGAATATAAAAAGGTTTTTACATTGGTTGCCCAGTTTTTTTGTCCACCTTTATCATATAACAACATCATATTATAACACTTCTTAGATAAGCGATTTGAAGGCATAATCAACAGTTTTAGCCAGTACTTAATAACTTTAATGCTTGTAAGAATGTGCATTGGGTACCTACCGCATTCACCATAAATCACTGCGTTAATAGTGTTAATTTTAACTCCGAGGAACTTTTTGCATCGCATTATAAATGGATTTTTCAATATCGTCAAATTTTGTTATTCCCCAAATTTATTTATATGATAAAATTGGACTGACTTGGGCATCAAATATTTTAAAGAATGAAGAGTAGTTAATATTACCAAGTACACTCAACTGTTTCATAATTCCAATTAATGCTTTTTGTCCCTGTAACACTGCATATTTTACATGCCTCGTCCATGACAGGCCACTGGTGAAATATAGTCCCAAATATTTATAAAAGCCAATACACAACAGCTGCATACCTTTATATAACCAGTTTTCCTTTTTTGACAATTTGCCTCCATTTTTGAATACAACAATTTTCGTTTTTTCTCTATTTACAGTTAATTTCCATTTATCGCAGTAACTTTTCAAGTTCATTAATTTGATTCTGTAAGCCATTAATCGTGCTTGAGAACAAAACAATGTCATCTGCAAATAGCAATAGGAAAATATGAACTATATCTGGGTGGAGTTGAATCCCGTGTACACAATTAGTTTCGATTTGTCGTGCTAACTCATTTATAAAAAAGGAAAATAGAAATGGGCTTAGTATACAGCCTTGTCTCACACCAAGTTGCAAGTAGAATGTTTCTGAATAATTATGATTACTTTTAATGCAAGCCTTAACATTTTCATACATATTGCATAAAAGTTTACTCAATTTACCACTGAGACCGTGGGTATTAAATAGAAGCCAAAGTTTTTTTCGTTGTATTGAATCGAAAGCTTTAGAAAAATCTACAAATAATGTGTAGAATTTCCCCCTTTAGAGTTTAAATACCTTTGAATAATACTTTGCAGTATAAACATATTATCTACTGTCGTATATCCCTGTCTGAAGCCAGCTTGCTTCAGCTGATCTTATCCATTGAGTCTCCCCAGTTTACAAGTCTTTTATTTATTATAGAGGTGAAAGTTTTACTAAATATGCTCAGTAGTGTTATGCCTCTGTAATTATTTGGATTATTTATATTACCTTGTTTATGGATAGGAACTATTATGCCAATTGCCCAACATCTGGGGAACGTACCAGTTTCTAATATCAAATTAAAGAGCAATTCTAAGTATGGGACGATAAGATCTGCAAAGTATTTAAAAAATTCAGATATTGTTTTATCAATTCCTGGTGATTTATTACATTTCAGTTGGTTAATGCTATCTAAGATTTCATCTCTAGTAATTGGGGAATCAAGTATTACCTTGGTAAGCTCTGAATTCGGATCTGATGGATTTCATTCTCGAAATTATCACATGTTACATCGTCATTTTCATTATGTAAAGAGTTAAACAGTGTCCGAAAGTGTTCTAGCCAGTCGATCATTTCGATGTTCTTTTGAGCTTCATGTCTAGTATTCAGGTGTTTGAGTTCATACCAAAGTTTTTTTGAATCAGATATACTGTTTTCTATTACCCTCTGCTTCTCTTTATAATAATTAAGGCTTTTTTCCTTACGAATTGAGTTATATTTATTTCTTTTAGGGCAATATTGATCGTATGATTCTTTATCTTTCAATTTCCTAAACTTATTCAGAGCTCTACATCAGTCTGATTTTAATCTTTCACATTCAGAGTCAAACCATTTATTAGTTGTTGTTGTGGGAGGGCTAATTGTTTTCTTCATGCAAGAGGCGGCCAGACAGAGTGCCTCGGTCATATAGCTTATACTATCATCAATATTAACGAATGCACAGTCAATCGATTTATCTAGTAATTCTTGTACGTTATCTGACAAAATATTTTCTCTAAACTGTTCTAATTTATCGTTATCCCAAATGAACTTAAACGGCTTATTCCTACATTTGGTAGAAGTGTTGGATTGCTCAAGTTGTACTGTTTTTAGTTTTAATGTAGTGGGAAGATGATCAGATTCAGTTCTCGTTTGTATGCTAAAATCTAGAATATAGTCAAATATTGTTGATGAAGAAATGATATAGTCAATAACACTGGTACCAGTTGAACCTAGAAAAGTAAAGTCTCCAACTTCTGTGTCACTTCCACATCGGCCATTTAGTATATGAATGTTAAAAACAGAGCACATGTCAAGAAATGTTTTACCAAAGTTGTTAACGATCTTGTCGGCGGAGAAACGCTTCAAGTTAAAATAATCTATAGCGTGACAGGTGTCGGTTTTACCACTAGGCTACCCCATCGCCCCAGTGACATCACTACTGATCTCATGACGTCACATTGGTGTGAACAACTAATGCTAGTAGTCTACCAATCCACTGATTAACACGTGACCAAAAATTAGGATAGAGATTCCATGACATCAAGTAGACTCTCACCCAATGAAGTATCCTGAATCCTGGAGGTGAGGTGAAATTGGATTCAATGTCGTGCTTGAGAATATTTCGCTCATATGACGACGTGCATGCGTGTGTATGTGTGTGCGCGGCTGCTTGTACTAGCCCAGACTTAAGCTGGTTTTCTATATATAGTGCTAGCCCACTGAGATACCATGCCGCAGTGAAGCATGAATACCCCACTCAGACACATTATACTGACTCCGAGACGACCAGTCTTTGTTATACCCATTAATGCCGAGCGCCAGGCAGGGACCAACAAGTACCATATTTTATCGTGTTTTGGTATGACGCAGTCGGGGATCGAACCCGCGACCTTCAACTCTCCGGGCAGACGCTCTAACCACTACACCACGGAGGTGGTCCCTGAATCCTGAAAGCTCCATCTCCCTCACAGACCAGTCAGTAACATGCCACATGCGGACATCTCTGAGAACAAAATACACCAAACCCCAACCCCCACAAAGAATAATCAAGCGGTGTTGAGCCGCCTTCAAGGTTCTTCAACCCGCCCATGGAAGAAGCAACATCTCTGAGGTAGAAGTTGATGAAGGTATTAGCTTACTTCCACTGGCAAGCCGACACAATCTGTTCTACTGACACAGATCTCCAAGCAGCTAAAGACGTAGCTAACGTTTAAGTTAACTAAGTCCCGATAACAGTCCTGGTAGGCATAGGCAATCGTCTCTCTAAGTCAGGAAGATAAGGTGTTCTTTGAGATCTCAGTATCCATGTTGATCTTACAAGATAGGAATAGACGACGATTCTGTCTGAAACTGTGTATGCGCGCTGAAGATACCAACGTAAAGTGGGACTTACACAAAGAAGTCTAGACTTGTATAATTGGGAAGAGGTAACTGGAAGAGCAGGGATCTTGTACACTCTCAGTCCAAAGGGTTCTTGGCAATAAATTCAGGAAGAGCCCTGCACATGATCTTTTTATAGCCATCCATGAAAACAACTGATCAGAAATCTAGAGCATGGAGTTCAGACACTCTTGAGGCTGTAGCAAAAGGCTGATCTAGACTACGCGTGGTCACAACATCCTTAGTCACAATGAGGCCAATGTTCAGAGATTTCCATGGCAGTCAAACGTCCTAAGGTGTTAACCTGGCTTGCATAGCATCACTGACTCGCTGGTACACTACGTTAAGGAAGGAACGAGCTTGAGCAACTTCATGGGGTGACATTGCAAGTAAGGCATCCTTCTTTACCCCCATGTAATCTTGAATGACTTGGGGAAGCAAGGCCTTAACACCAGCCGCAAACCAGTTTGTGTATGCCAT